CCCCAAAACCCCAAAACCCCAAAACCCCAAAACCCCAAGTTTTTGTAAAAATTGAACCAATTTGGCTTAAAAATTAGGAACATTTATGCCTCCTTCGGATTCTGAGTTATTAATCTTATATGTAAATGCCCTCTCCTTGAAGTTTACAGAATAGACATTAGCTGTATGTTTGATGCCATTGTCAAAATTTTCAATAGTGATGTTCCCTTCATCCTCGCTTTCTTCCTGCTGACTGTAGAGCTCTTCTTCATCAGCAAGGCCTAGCTCCATCATCACTTCTTCCTTCAAAAATCTCACTAAGAAGAATTAGAGGGGACTTACAGTGGTCTCTGTCATTTTCTAGCCAACGTTTGAGACCTTTGCTATCTTCCGTATCTTTGCTAAAATATGGATTGTTATGCAATTTCTCAAGGCTTTTCAAAGTATCTTTCAGAAAGGCTAAATCGGGTAAAGAATTTGCTTACAATGCTCAAAGTTATTTATATATCTTCCTAGGCTTTTTCTTTTGCCTGAAATAGGCAAGTATTCTCTCCGTGACTTTTTGGAAGTTAATCTTCAAGTCCAAAAGGTCAGATTGCTCGTACCTAAACTTCCGCAACTTTGATTTAAAGTTATCAATATAATTTCTGAGACATTCCTTCTTGTGTTGTAATAGTTTTTGGGAGTTCTCATTTTTTAGGTCCTCATCGCTCATTTCTAGAATAGAATTTTTCAAAGTTGCCCATATTAGAAGATGATAAAGCAATGGGTCAATCCCTTGGACATGATGTGGGATGTTTTCTATGTCAGCATCATCATATCTGGTCTTGATAACTGGGTATGAGAAGTCTAGCTTATCTCCAAGACTGACATCCATTATGGTTTCGTCATTATCAAGTTCCCGTTGGAGAACGCTGATTTGATCCTTAATTTCTTCATCATCGAACATGTAAATATCGACTTCATTCAAGTTCTTCATGATAGTATTGTGATCGATGATCATATTCCACTCAAATTCAGAGAAAGAGCAAAATCCAAAGGCAGCTCAGATCAGTGTTCTAATCTTAGACTCTATCGTAACGATTCTAGGGATTACGAGGAGGTGACTTACCGGTCTGATTTATTGAGTTCTGCTTCGAATATCTCCATTTCTTCCTTCTCACCCTTTCTGCTGATCTTGTGAATAATCTTAAGTCTTTCATTAAGGGAATCCTTCGCATGATATAGCTCGTACTCATTAGAAGGGTTGTTCTGGTATAATTTATTTGCCTAAATTTAGCAAAATTCCTTACTGATATCATCTAGCTCCTCATCGTACATCCCAAGTTTGGTCCTGAAGGATTATCAAGTTGTTCTTACTTCTCTTTAGAGATAATCTCCTGATTCTTGGCTAAGATATGGTCTATTTTCTCAATCAATTGGTGATTCTGATGCACAATTGCATTCAAACAGTCCTCCATTGTGTAAAGTTCAATATTTAAATTATATTGAGGGGTTTTGGGGTTTTGGGGTTTTGGGGTTTTGGGG